ACGATGATGCATTTCCCCCCCCCCCCCCCCCCCTTCGTGCGGCAACAAACAGGTGTTGAATAGGTGCTGAACAGGCGCAAAGAGTGTCCCTGTTGGTTTTGGCGATCTTGTCTGCCGTTTGCAAGGGCTGGTTCCGGTCATGTGGAATAGTCGCTTTGGTGCAGATGCATGGGCTCGTCGGTTTCACGTGGGTAGGATTGACGGCGATAGCTGGTGTTTGCCGAATGAACGGATGCTGTCATGTAGCATCTCTTTGCTCCGTACGTTCTTCTTGTCATGCTGTTTGGGAGGGCGACTTTGAGTCGCATTTGTAATGTCGATCGTGGCTGGTTCTGAGCAAGAATAGCCAGCGCTGGTGTCCATATGATGAGGGGACTCGGACATGATTTATTTTATTTTTTATTTTATTTTATTTTTATTATTTATTTATTTATTTTTTTTTTGTCACTTTGACTACTTTCGCTCTATGGGGCGTGTTCGGGAACTTCGGGTGGGTGTATCGAGCGTGTGGCTTTGGTATTGACACGGCGAAGAATGCGGCAATTGCTTGATTGGGGGCCGTGATTTATTGCCCGTCAACCAAGCTTGGTGCGAAGCACTTGAGCAAATTCGAGAGCATATCCAGACTAGGGTAAGCTGGAGGTTGGGGGCGAGCAAAAAGTTTCATACAGCATGCTTGCTTTGCTGCAGCTGGTGGTGCCTCCACAAACATGAGCTGCTCCGGCTACTGTCAACCATCTACATCAAGCTACTCAACTTGACCCAACGACCAGCGTCGCTCACAAAGCCAGCTGCCCAGTCTAGAACCGCCCGCTCCCTCCTCCACCAGGCTTGCTTGCTACCGCCCAAATGTTGGACAGATACAGGCACAGTTGACTCTCACACCGAGGGGAATTACCCGCCAACACCACCCGTCGAGTACACCATTCTTGGCGACCCTCTGTTGAAACCAGAGACGCAGGGCAACGGGCTTCAGTCTTGCAGGAATCGTGCTCCGTTGGTCCAAACCAGTTCTCGGAAAACAGGTCGAGTCTCCATGTAGCCGAACTTTTCCCAAGGGCCGCTCCAAGGGATGAACGATTCTTTGCCATCTAATCGATGTCGCGGTTGCTGATGCCGATGCCGATTAGAAAGGGTGGCCCGCCTCCGCCGTTTCGTTTTGTTGAAAGTTATACTTGCGGGTTCTCCTTCCGGACGTCACTCAAGATACTATTCAGAGCCAGCATTCTATTACATTTGTCCCGAAATAGATGTGCTAATCCTTCCTAGAATCGAGTCCATCTTTTGGCGAGTTTTTTGCAATCCGTGCCCGCGGGAGGCTTTGGGGAGCGGGCGGATAAGCGCCCTTTTTAAAATCTTCAAATCAAGCAATCAAAATTCCATTTGGATGGAAGAGTAATCCGAGACCGCGGGCGAATACATTGCCATGCGGAACCCCGACCATCCCCTCAAGTCCGGGTTCTAGCGAACCCTGATCCCATCGAGATTTGCGAAACCAAGGCACAAGAGCAGCCGCCAGTGTGCAAACACATGGAATACACCAGTTTGAAGAAAGATGCCAGAAAGCGCACCGAGGACCAAGCACAGATGGCCTTTGTTAGACATTTTCCAGCCGGTGCAATGTTGGAACTGCCCAAGGTTTGAAAGGGAAAAGGCTGATCTGGAACGAGCTGGATAGAGGACGGCATCTCCTGCCCCTTGTCCTGGAAGATTGAAACAGTTCAGAAAAGAAGATTGAATAATTAGCCAGTGAATAAGCCAAGAATCACTGACAATTGAAAAAGAAAAAAAATGGAAAGCCAAACAAAAATTTGCGGTCAGTGTGACTCGAACACACGACCTTCAGATAGGCATCCGTAGGATTGAAGTTGACTTCAGTCTGACGATCTCCCAGCTAATCTATGACCGCAGATACTCCGAACGGGCTTATTTTAATTTATATCGTGGCACGCTGCATCCAATATTTTCTCTCAACGATCCGTTGCGTGTGCAGCCACCCATTTAATACCCATGGGCATAATTGGAGCGCACGAGCGACCATTGATACCCAACGGTGCTAAACTGGCAACTTGGGTTACATATATACCTCCAGACTACCTAGGGTAGGCACCCATTCACTTCTGTGCCGACCCAGCGGCGTGCTAGTTTCATTAGACACGGCATGCCAGTGCAGAAAATTGTCATGATGGAAATGAAAACGACTGTATTTGTGAACGTATCTCGCTGCATGTCTAGGTTGTTCATGTCTTAGTCCCATTCCTGACACTCCAACTGTATTTTCTCCCCGTCATTTTCTACACCGTCCTTTGCTCAGTGATGCTCTGTCCGGCAGGCTTCATTCCCACAAACCCACCATGCGGTGCACCCAATTCAAAAACCTTTCGTCCTCGAAGCCACGTCTCCTTGACTCTACCCGTAAACTCGCGCCCCTCCCATGGCGAACACCTGTTCTTCCAGCGCATGTCGCCCTGTGAAAACGTCCACACTTCAGCATCGTCAAAGACACAAATATCTGCGTCCATGCCAACCTTTATTGCGCCCTTGCGGTGTGAGAGACCAACTTGCTCAGCTGTGGCTTGGCAGCAGAGTCGAACAATGTCAGTGATTGCCGGCGTTTTGGAAGTCTTGCTACGCTGCTTGGCGGTTGAGTGGATGATTGGCAAGCCGAGACCGACAGACGAAATTCCACCCCATGCGGCCATGAAATCACCAGCTTCTTTGTCCTTCTTCTGCACTGGGTACGGCTCCTTGGCCGACCAAAGTTCTGCTGGGAGCAGTTTGAGTTCCGGTGTGCAAGGAGAATGGTCCGAGACGACAGTCTTGATGCACGAGTCTTTGGCGACGAGTTCCTCCCACAGCCCCTCGCGGTTTCGGCCCTCTCGGATAGGGGGACAGCATTTGTGTCTTGTGTCTCCGTTTGCAATTTCCTCTGCTGAAAGTCCCAGGTAGTGAAAGCAGGTTTCTGCGGTAATGTTGACGCCTTTTGCCCGAGCTGCCTTGAGGAGGGGGATGCACTGGGTGGCTGAGAGATGGACAATGTGCAAGTTTAATGAAGGTGCAATAGGTGCTGCAGACAGAATCTCCTGGACCGCGGTGGTTTCAAAGGTCGGAGGCCTGGAGTCAAGGAAAGTCTGATAGGCCGTAACATCACTTGGTGATGCGTGACCGTTGGTGAGTCCATTAGTGTGTCCATTGGTATCTCCATTGGTGTCGCCATTAGAATGACCATTTGTACGGCCGTTGGTATGGCCGGCGCATGGCTCCATTTCAGCATGGAACATGAGAGTTGTGGCGCTATCCTTGAGTGTTTCCATTGCCAAAGCCATATCCTTGGGGGTAATAGCCGGGAACTCATCCACCTTGTTCACCACAGTTAGTGCTTTGAAGTTTCCTTTTACTTGAGGCAGCGCAACAAACTTACCCCGGATTCAATCAAAAACCCCTTGAAGCCTCTTACACCCATTTCAACAAGAGGCTTCAACTCATGGGCATTACCAGG